CCTTTGACTTTTTGAATGGTAAGCTCGGTAATACTGATTCCAACCCCTATTGCCTACCAAGCAGAGTGTGTTTGGAAATGCACAGATTGTATAACCCTACACAGTGGCTAGCAGAGTGCTGTCATTACTTCTTACTTAAACTCATACCACTCTACTTCTGACAACAAAAAGTAAATTAACACCTGAGACTGGATACTACATTATAATGGAAAATCATTAATCTCTAAGATAATTAGGTCTGGAAAAGGCAGAGTGAAAAAGTTTCTCAACAAAAAATGAAATCTAGTTACTTGAATATACAACTCCTAGCGGTACTTTCTCTCTAGCAATTCAATTATAATTTTTTGGCAACTGACATTTAGCCAAAGTTGAGAACCAGTGCATTGTATAGATTGCTCAGTCTGCTTAGAGGCATTTTTTTTTTCTTGTGCAAGGCTGCCATCTGCTGGACACATAACACTTAACAAAGCTTTGTTATTTTAGACTAAATTCAATTCTTAGCGAGGAAACTTAGCAGGGGAGTATATACTAGACATTTTCCGCTTGTATTTGATGAGACTAGCAGTTAATTTCCTTTTCAAAGTGTATATACCATGGGTGAGTTTGAACCATTTAACCCTCATGGTGCACCAGAATCATCATGATAAACTGTATATAAAGATGGCCCAAACCCTCTCATCCTACATGCCTTTTTTGCAATGTGACATTGCCACTCAATGACAAAGAAGTCTGTTTTTCTTTCCTTTAAGTTTACTTTGTCTTTGTGATTTGTGTTCATCAGTACTAGTGGCAGAGGGAACTTTACAAAACATCCCATATATCTTGAAAAGAAGTATTAAGGCTTTTCTCCAACTTCCATGTAAGAAAAGCAGGCTAGGTAATGTTTCCCATGGTACCCCATTGGAAAGAGCACTTAGCTGACACTCAGCACCAAGATCTCAGATGTGTGTGAGCCTGTTTTTTTAAAAAACCGTTTTGCTATAGGGTGTACGTGTTTACCAGAGAAAGAGACGAGAGAGAGAGAGAGACGAGAGAGAGAGAGAGAGAATCCCATACCCTCCCTTCTCTATTTTCTTGGGATTGGGGGCATGCATGCACACATGCCTGGTGTGGTTTTCGAACTGCCAGGTACAGGACTGAACTGTGCAGTTGGTCATGTGGGACCCAGTTTTTAACACCATGCCACCAGCTGGCCTGTGAGCCCATTTTTGACCTTCCAATTCTGCAGCCAGTCAAATGCAGCTACGTAAACAAACTTAGGTGAGACAACAGGATAACCTACCAGTCAAACCACAGAAAAATGAGAACTAATTCTTCCTTTAAAACTGCTACATTTTGGTGACTGTTAGGTAGCACTAGACAACTAATATATCTGGAAAACCTTAAAAGAACTAACAGGTTCAGGCATAGCAGCACAAATAGTCAGACACCACTGTTTAAGGCTGGAGACACTTGGGAGGCCTGGGTTTGTATCCGGACCTACTTAGACAACCAAACATGGTGATACGTGCCTATAATCCTAGCTAACTGAGAGGTAAGGGCAGAAGATTGCAATGGTGAAGCACTGTTAAAATATCTCTCTGTGCTCTCTCTCCTGTACTCTTTCTCATAGAAATAAATAACATATATATTTTAAAAGAACAAACACTACACAGGTCTTAAGAGATTTACAATTAATTCTATTGGGTGAATTCCAGGAAATGGTTTCTTTGCTTACTGTAAACAACTGTATCTCCAATACCCTCTCCGGCATGCTTCCTGCAGGGAGAGGGTCCAGTCAGTGAGTGACTGAGTGAGTGAATTATACACTGTGGCAAATGGCTGCTCCTGAATGTCAGGGACATCTATACAGATGTGTAAAAATGGTGACTGGAAATGTGCTTGGAATTTGAAAAAAGAAATGGAAAAAGTCACTACAATGACAAGTTCACTCACTGCTGGAATAACACCCATTGCTCCACAGTCAGCAGAAGAACATGCGAACATGCGTTTCCCCAGATTTTAGAGATTTGTGATCTCCAAAATGGGTCTAAGCAGAAGTGGAAAGGTCATGAGTGCTGGATTGTCTGGTTAGAATCCTGGCCTCAACACTAGCTGTTCGTCTTGTCAGTAAATAACCTCTCTGTACCTCAGTTTCCTCACTCATTACAATTCTTTTGATCTCTAGAAATTTTTTTTAAGAGAGATTTTTGCTATAGGGCACGTGGGCTCGCAGTAAAGACAGAGACAAAGAGACAGAAAGTGAGAAATCACCCCCTGGGGGGATGGCCATGCTGCAATCCCTTCTCTTCCATTCTCCTCTCAGGATCTTGGGCACGCACGCATATGCGTCCGGCATGAGTTTAAGCCACCAGGTCCAAGACTCGAACTACAGTCCACTATGTGGGAGTCCAGCAACGTAATCATTACGCCATCTGCTGGTTCCCCTCTCTAGCATTTTTGCTTTATTCTTTTTAGGATTTCTATTTCTCTACTTACATTGCCCATTTGCTCTTGCATGTTGTTTACTTTACCTATGAAAGCCCTTAGCATTTTAATTATGGTTGCTTTAAATTTTCAGGTTAATCATGCTAATATCCTTCTCATATCTGAACCTGGTTCTGATGTTTTCTCTGTCTCTTCAAACTGTGTTGTGTTTCTTTGTAGTGAGCTTTGTAATTTCTTTGTTGAAAAGTAGACATTGCACACTTGGTGAACTGTTGGGAGAAGAGAAATCTTCTATAGTCCTATGATTAGGTCTTGATCTTTTACTGAGCCTGTATCTCTGGATTAAGACGGTCACATGCTTCTCAATTCCGTCTCCCCTTCAGTGAAATAGGTTAGCTGGGGTAGGTTGGATTTAGGTTATTTTCTTTTCCCTAGGTCACTTAGTCTCTGATAAAACCCCAGGAGGACTGGCTCTGGGTAACAAGTTTTTTCTAAGGGCAGACCTTATTAAAAAGAACAGAGTACTCTGGCATGTTTTAAAATGGTTTCTTTATCCCCCTCCCCTGTTGGAAAAACTCTAGGGGTTTTTTCTCCATGTTTACTGTAAGAACCTAGTTGAGCTTTTGAGATAAACTTAGAAAAGTATGAGGGTCCCAGGTGACTGGATCCCCTTGGAGTTTTCATTTCTCAAACTGGTAATTAGGTATAGTTCAAGTTTCTTTACTTTGGCCCTGTTTCCTAGGGAGGTTGGTACTTCGGGGTTTCTGTTTTGGCAAGTCGTACTTCTCTGCATTTCCTTATTTCTCCAATTAGAAACAATGGTTTGCCTTATGACCCATGACTCTGATGGGTTTAAGAAGAGCTGTTGATTGTTCAGTTTCTTTAGCTTTTACTTACTGTTTGAATGGAGTGGTGACATCCAGAGTTTTATATACCATACTGGAAATAGCAACCATCTTAAAGTTTTTAAAACTCCATGCAATATATTGCTGCCTTCTGATATTTGCCTCTTTTGTGAGTGACCAAGTGTGTACATACAATCTACGTACTCAAAGAGTAACAAGAAAGAGAGAAAGAAATGATTAGGACCCTAAAATAACAGAGAATTAGAATTTTAAAATTTAGAATTGTAAAGATCTCTGTGTCTCTGGGCAAGTTAACATTGAAATTTTGGATTATCAACCAAAAACCTTACTAGGTTAGAAAGTATAGTGAATATTATCAAGGTATTAAAAATGAAGGACAATCTAAGTAATGGTCATTTACCTAATTAAAGAAAGATTTCATTCCTTACTACCATGTAAAAAAAAAAAAATCCACCATCCCTAATGCTGTTTTCTTTGTAGTCCTAGTAGATAGATGATTAAAACTACAGGGGACTAATTTCCACTTAATTTAAACAATAAATTTTGGACCAAATTGTTTGTAGGTGTAAGGTATAACTGACAGAGTTAATACAAAAAAAAATCATATCTGGAAGAAAGAAATGTTGTTAGCTGCAATCATTATCTATGTCAAATCCACTGTCCTCTTTTTTTATGGAGAAGTTTTTGCTATAGGGTGTGTGTGCTCGCCAGAAAGACAGAGAGAGACAGAAAGATAAAAAGTGATAAATCACCCCCCCCCTCCGCCCCAGGGGGGATGGCCACTCTGCAATCCCTTCTCCATTCTCTTGTCAGGATTTTGGGCATGCACGCAAGTCCTGGACTCGGTGGCGTGAGTTTAAGCCACCGAGTCCAGGACTTGAACCGCAATTGGCTACATGGGAGTTCAGCGACATAGCCATTATGCTAACTGCTGGTCCCCACTGTCCTATTTTAGAAGGGGGAGGAAGAGCTATTTTGTCACACCCTAGTTGTAGAAAGAAGCCCAGAGTTTAACTGAACCGAGTTGTGAGATACATTAAGGAGTCTGCCCTGAATCCTATGACGCAGGTTGATTAGAACATAGCTAACAGCAGGTGCTCAGATATGGATTGTCATGGTTGGTCCTCACTTATTACACAGTGCCTCTTGAAATTCAATGTGCAAATGAATTACATAATCTACGGATCTTGATAAAATTGTGGTTCCTTAGGTCTGGGCTAGAGTCTGAGTCCATAGTCCTAACAAAAGTCCTAAGTGATGGTAATGCTGCTGGTCTGAAAACTACACTTTGAATATTAAAGTTTTACAGAACTTCCTCTTGAACAGTAGTTCAGACTGTGCTCAGACCAGCATTGTCATTACCTGAGAAATTGTTAGGAATGAAAAATCTTGGGGCCTGTCCAGACCTGCTCAAGCAGAAACTTTGGGAACTAGGATCTGGTCATTTGTATTTTAACAAGCCCTTCAAGTGATTCTGATGCATGTTGAAGTCTGAGCGCCCTAATATAGACAAGCACTTTTCCAGCCATAATAGAACCACCTAGGGAGCTTTAAAAAAATCAATCACTGGTTTCTGTGCTATAGTATCTAAATTATAATTGCAGGGCATGGGACCATTCATTATGGGTATTTTTTAAAAATCTGCCCACTTGATTACAATGTACAGCCAGATTTGAGAACCACTTCCTGAGATACAGGCTTACTTACCCTTTGACTCTTTGCCAGCAAACGTCTGGTAGAGGTGGGGGTGTCTGGGTGTGCTTGGCCAGTGACTCTCTTCCTTCTCAGTGTTGCTTTGCACCTGTAACCAAGATCCCAAGATCCCATTCAGAGCCAATAGAGGAGAGGGCAAAGGACAGAAGAAAGAGGGGAGGTATCTCTCGGGAAAGGAGCTAAGTGTAATTGGCGGTTTCTTTTGTGTCAGGGACCCAGTAGCAAGGAAGACAGCAGCTGAGGGTCAGCCTGACATTCAATAAGAGGTAACACACATGCAAATGATGTTGCAAATAGGTCATGGCTTCTTTTTGAGTCAAGGATTTGAGATCTTTTTAAAGAGATGCCAAAACTTAATGGCAGTGTCCCCCATAGACCCAGGCAAGGAGAGTCCTAAATTCTAGAGGGTGAAGAATTGGTGGACTTAGAGGATGTCCCCACCTGGGTCCTGTAGTATTCCTTCTAAAACATACTCTGGATACCCTAAATCACAAAATATGCTGGTCTCATGGACCCATGCTGGTTGCTGGGACTACACTAGTTTCACCTGGTGTCTGTCAAGCAATGGATAACCTCTTTACTCGTGTATGTAACACCAGGCCCGAGTGATGACCAATGGATGGTACTCTATGTGAGTAGGGGGTTGTGGTATTTGGATGTTCAGGTTGGGGTGGACGCTTAGGGGTATGCAAGGTCTCTTATAGGGCAGGACAGACCTGGGCGTGGGAAGAAAAAGAGACAGCCCAGGGGCTGAGAGGTAGCTCTGCCCACACTGCGTTCTTCTAGCACAAAATTCCTAAGAGACTGATCATTTCATACTGAGACCTGAACTTCTTGAGCTTCATGTTTACATACATTTGTCAAGGTAAGAGAGAACATATTTATTTAAGAGTGCCTGGATTTTTACATGATTAAGTTAATTTGCACTCTTTTGAGGACCCTTGTAAATGATAAAACCCTGTTTAGGTGTGCTTTGAGGACCCCCTTCATGTGATAAGGGCAGGTGTCTATCTGAACTTTTACTCTGCAGATGTTTAGTGCATGATAACCTTCAACAGAGATAAAACCAGACAAGAAATACAAAAGCAGCTCTGAAAACCTGACTGCTCTTAAGAAACAGGGCCTATTTCTCTTTCTACCTCTTTGTTAACCTGCTACAAAAGGTTTCTAAATTTAATTCAAAAACAGGGAGCCTGGATCTCTCTGCCCAAGGGTCTCAAAGCTTCTTCTGGGCAAGAATCCAGAGCCATTCTCTGCTAGGCTCTCATTCACTTCCAACCCACTCACCTCCTCCAAGTCAAAAGAGTCCGGTAACTGCTGAGTTAGAGATCGATGGAGTTCTGGTCTATGTATGCTCTGTTTCCATTTTTGCTGAACAATCGACAGGTCCAGTGAGTTAAACTTCCTATCTGTCAGATTCTTTTGGAATAGGCTCTTTCTTGCTCTGCTCTTTTTTTTCCAGGAAGTCTCTTCCTTGGCTGAATGGCCTACCCTACTGGTGGCTGGTAGATCCCACAGCTCTCCCCCTTTCTGTGCAGGATCTGTGCGCCATTGTGAATCTGTTCTGGGCAGAGAATGTGTGCAACAGGGTACCTTGTGATAAGAATCCAGAGTCTGTGATGGTGCTTGCACTGTGGACATTCCCTGCTGTGTTTCCTCTTTAGAGCAGAGGATACATGGACAGGGAGAACTAGGCAGCTTTGAACTTTCAGTGAGAAGAACAGGGTCTTCCTGTGAGCCTTGCTCAAACTCAGAGTCTTGCTGGAGGACCAACTTCTCTCCTCTTACTCTGTCAATCACTTCCCATACCACTTGGTCCAAACTGTTCCTTTTGGGGGTGTGGGGTGGTAACAGCCGATCTCGAGGACATGTGTACAGGCACATTTTGGAGATAGCTTTCCGTAGGCGTTCTCTGGGTGAGTGAGGTTCAGGCTCTGGGGTCAGTATCCTGATGGACGGCACATCAGTTGGGTTGTAGTTCCAGAACATGTGGGATGGTGTGAACTTTTGGACAGGTGTCTTAGACACATAGGAGTAGAGACAGAAGAAGGCATCAGCAGTGACAGCCAGTGTTTGCACCTGCTTAAACCTGCCTGGATACATGGGTTGAAATGGTTAGTCTGGGGCTCATTAGCAAATATCTCTTAAATATCCCCCTTCAAAACCCTTCCCAAAGCTCAAAATTTAGAGAAGCCGCACTGCCAATGTCCTTACTAGTGTTCCTCTTCTTTACATTTCTGACACCCAGGGTTCTCTTTCTTGAATTTATTAACCTCTTGACTCCTTATGCCAAGTATATATTCCAAAGAGGAACTGGGACCAGCAGTTAGCTTAATAATGGCTATGTCGCTGGACTCCCACATAGTCAACCGCGGCTCGCGTCTCAGACCCGGTGGCTTAAAACTCATGCCGGGTGTGTGTGTGCACGCGTGCCCAAGATCCCGAGAGAAGAATGGAGGAGAAGGGATTGCGGCATGGCCATCCCCCCTGGGGGGTTATTTCTTGCTTTCTGTTTCTCTGTCTCTCTCTGTCTGTCTGGCGAGCGCACGTGCCCTACAGCAAAGAAAAAAAAAAGAAAAAGAAAAAGACATTGTACTGCTTTGATTTGGCTAAAGGAGAGGGCCTAAAGGAAAAAATGGGGATCTTCAGGAGGAAGAGCAGATGTCAAAGTTCTCTACCTTTACCAAAGACATCATAAAAAAAAAAGTATATAGACACAAAAATAAGTATCACTTGTTTCTGGGGTCAAGAGACACTAACCAAAGGAAAGTAGAATTTGAAATTGTTAAGCTCTGTTGTGAAAATCTTGAGGCCAGAACACTAATCTTTAGAAATACTTACTGGCCAACATGAGGCAGGGATCCTCCATCTCAATCCTCCGCACCTGAGCCTTCAGGAAGAGCTGGAAATCAATGCCTTTTGCCTGAGAGGGGGTGGTGAAAAATCGAGCAGGAATTCGAGAAGGATCTTTATGGTCTTCTTGGCCAAAGCCCAGACTGAAGAGGACATCTTCTGCATCTTCCTGCACCTTGTCCAAAATCTCTGAGATGCTGAAAAGAGGGAGTTTGGAATAACAGGGTACAACTTAGAAACATACAGTAATCCAGAATAATATCCAGCTAAAGTATAAGGGGACTGAGATTTATTTCTGGCTATTTCTCTACCTTGCATTGTAATTGTGAGAAAAGCTTCCCTTTTCTGAATCTAAAAATCTCTGTCCAAAGCAGGGGAATTATAATCCTGTCCTGGTTTGAAAAACTGAGTGAAATTTTAGTATAGTACTTTGAACAACTCACTACAAGTGAATAAATATTTAAGTAAATATAAAATAGTTTTTAAAAATCGGGACCAGCAGTTAGCGTAATGGCTATGTTGTCGGACTCCCATGTAGTCGACCGTGGTTCACGTCCTGGACCTGTGGCTTAAACTCACTCCAGACACGTGTGAGTGCATGCCCAAGATCCCGAGAGGAGAGTGGAGGAGAAGGAATTGCAGCGTGGCCATCCCCCCTGGGAGGTGATTTCTTGTTTTCTGTCTCTCTGTCTCTCTCTGTCTTTCTGGTGAGTACAGGTATCCTATAGCAAAAACCTCTCTCAAAAAAAAAAAAATTAAAAGCAATATAGATGCAAAGAAATGTTGTGATCGCCTTAGCTAGTCAGATTCACTTGTGTTATGCCAGGATATATCTAGGTTTTCCTGGGTTCTTGCAACTTGCCCCAGTAGTTGCAAGAGACTAACCAGTAAGTGTATAAGGAATATAGAACTCATTTTACTCTGATCCTGAAGGTAAAAATTAATCAATGGGTACATTTAAAAAATGATTTTGAAAGGTATACCCCTTTCTAGCATAATTGTCAGGAAGGGAGCCCTGTGTTACAGGAGTTCAAGATAATTCTCTCTGTCCCTCTCCTCTCTCTCTGTCAACATAGCACCCACCTATATCTATATCCAAATTGAGTACCACTACCCCAGATGACCTTAGAGCTCAATAACTACTTTCAAACAACAGGGCTAAGGAGATCTGTAAATTATTTGAGGCTTTGGATAATCACTGCCATGCTCTTCACAAAGGATGATAGGTTTTCTTTTTAAAATTTACTCTAATGGGGACCATCTTGTTTAATTAATAGACAGTGGGAATCCCTGGATCTTCTCTTGTGCTTGCCAGCTAAGTGCCCATTTATCTCCATGATTCTATAGTTCCCTATCTGTGAATTGTGGGCTTATGACTGGATCAGTGGTTTTCAACCATGGCTGAATATTAGAACCACCTGAGGGCACTTTAAAAATGCACGTACCTGAAGTCCTATCTCCCGACATTCTGATTTAACCAAAGTGGGGTGCGGCAAGGGCTAAGGCTCAGTGAGGATAAATTACTAAACCCAGTCACATGACAAAATTTCAGTTTCAGAAGCAGGTCTCACATTCTGACTTTACATTCCAGACACTTCTTGTTATACTGCACTAGTTTTCATCATTTCCCATTTCATTTTAGAATTATTTGTGTGTATGTTTTCAAATTCCACATAGTCATTGCCTGCTCTGAACAGGGGATATACAATTGTCTGAATAGATTAACATTTTATTACTGCATTCAATCAATAAATGTGTCAGCTAATCAATAAATTATTTATTGACTACCTACCATGAATCCAGGAACTGATTGTACCAACACTGTATCTCTTGCTACACGAGTTTCAGTGGAAGGAGATATGTATATTTTACACACAGCATTTAGCTCTCAGAAGATGATTCCTCTGCATCCCACAATTCTTTTTTCAATTGTCAGAGGGCATGTGTGCTCACCAAACTAAGAGAGAGAGAGAGAGAGAGAGAGAGAGAGAGAGAGAGAGAGGAAAGAAAAAGAGAAAGAGGGAGAAAGCACCTCCAAAATGGGGCATGGTCACACTGCAAAGCCTTTCTTCCATTTCTCTATTATGTTGGGCTTTTGAGCACTCGTGCACACATGCTCAGTATGCTTTTCAAGTCACTGTGGCTGAGACTCAAACCATGGTTTGCCACGTGGAATCTGGCTCCCTTAACTACTAGGCCACAGGACCATCTTCCCACACTCCACTATTATTGAAACAAATATAATCACACTACTCTCAAGTGTGCTTAAAAGAATAAAGGCTCCAGTAAAGTAATCCAGAAAAAATAGGCATGACTCAGTTTCATTCTCTTTTGCCTCTTATTTTTTCCACCCTCCCACTCCTACCAAGATTAGTACATACCTGGAACTAGTCTTGTTGGTCCCACCAGTCATGCTACTGGAAGCCAAACTACAGCCAAGATCAAGGAGCTGGCAAGGTCTGGTTGTCTCAAGGAAACTCCTGCAGAGATCAGAGCTGATATAACACAAATTCTGTCAACAATCTGTACCCTGCTCTCAAGGCATCCCTTGTGAGGTATATTCATTCAAACTTTCTGGGTACCTTAAACCACCTGCTGAGAAAATTCAGTCTATACTCTCATTGCCTTGGAAAATGTTATGCTTTATTGTGAATCTTTAGCTATTTATCTTCACTTTTTGACTCTGATGCCTACCCAGTTCACTATCTCCTGAAGGACACGTTATTCAGCTTTGCTGCATCTAACACTCACCTGGAGAAGAGTTTGCCATTGGCGGCCAGCAGAGTGGCTGAACAAGGAACAGAAAGGTGAAAAGCAAGTTAGGAACAAAAATAAAATCACTAGAGTTATTCCTCTGAGTTTCAAACACAGCCTTCTGTGCTTCTCTGTCTGCCACTGTTACATGCTGAGACTCATAAATTCTGTTCTTAAAGGAGACTCAAGATCATCAGGCATAGCTCTGGAAGGGCAACAGATATGACAGAGGACAACTGGTTTTGAGCTTCTAGACTTTCACCCTGTGACTAATGTCTAAGCGAGATCCTTTCTGTCCTGAGGAGGGTAGAGTGATTCAGCCCTCTAGGTAGTATTCTTGTCCCACCACATGAGTCTCTACAAGTCCCAGGAGACACTGAGAGGTTGTTGTGCCTCCATTCTTTGGGTGCCTCCATTCTCTTACACCCGATACTCAGACTTGTTTGGGATTCCTATGCAGAAACAGTTTCAAAGATGTCTGGGCAGCAAATGTTATAGTGATTTTATGTTACCTACCCAGAGGTCAAAGGAAAGTCCCCATGATGGACAGGTAGGAGTAATGACGAGCTGGTGAAGAAATGTTTCTGGCATGTGACACTTAATGAATTTTACACAAGATCATAATGAGATTTTTTTTCCCAACAGATAAAAATCCAGGGAGGGGCTGCTTCTGTCCAAAGTTTTCCCCTTTCGTCCTATCCATAATTCAACGTACAGCCTCTCTCCTGATCCCAGCCTCAGAGATCTGAGCCACTTACCCTCTGCTCCGAGGGTCAAATCATCTTCAAAGCTGGTCCCATGACTGGAGCACCCTGTCAAATAAGTTTCAGGTCACGGAAAATCAGACTGGAACATGCACATGTATGCAAGTGTACATACAACTTACATAGACATCTATACATGTCTTAGGCTTGCACAGTCATACTAGATACCCACATGACTACAAAACTCCCCCCAGAAATACATTTACTACCTCAAAAAGCACACTGGTATATTGATTCAGGAAGGATCACACATGTACTCACCTATAACTAATCTGCCCCATGTATTACAGAGTCATATACACAATCTCCTGCCACATAGGAAACCCAGGGGAGTGTGTATTTACACATAACAACATAAACATTTTATAAAATTCTTTCCCATAGCAGTGGTTGTTAGCTGAGCAATCACTGAAAGAGATAACTTTCGTGAGCTTATGGGCTCTGAGCTGGTACTGTCTCCTGGACCCTCTACACTGTATTGTTATGCAAACACATGCATGTGAATGAGCATGGACACACGTGTACACACACACACACACACACACACACACCACTATATCACTATCCAGGTAGAAGAAAAGTAGAAGAACAGAACCTATACTCACCATTGCAGATTGACTGTCCTGCTTCTTCAGAAAATCCTTCTTCAGGATCTCTAAAACCAAAAAATAATCTTATAGGTTGAAATCACTGCAATTTTTCCCAAGGGGTTTTTCTTCAAATGTCTTCTACATGTTTATGATATTTTACAGTGTGAGTCAGTAGTATTTAATTTACTTTTACATAAAAGAAAAAAATTAAAACAGAGTAGTTACTTTTTTTAAAAGAGGTTTTTGCTATAGGGTGCGTGTGCTCACCAGACAGACAGAGAGAGACAGAGAGACAGAAAGCGAGAAATCACTCCCCGGGGGGATGGCCACGCTACAATCCCTTCTCCTCCATTCTCCTCTCGGGATCTTGGGCACGCACGCACACGCGCCCAGCGTGAGTTTTAAGCCACCAGGTCTGGGATGTGAACTGCAGTCGACTTCATGGGAGTCCAACGACATAGCCATTACACTAACTGCTGGTCCCACAGAGTAGTTACTTGACTGGCAAATTTATAGAGATAACGGGAGCTGTCATTATCTTGGCCTCACTGTCTAGAGTTAGCTTAGCAATCGTTCTTCAGTCTTTTAGTAAAATAGGAGAGAAAGATTATAGAAGTAAAACTAGGTATATACTTTTTGTGCCATAGTTCTCAAATCATGAGTACAAACACTGAGTTTAAAAAAATATAGGAGGTCATCTTATCTACTCACACTCCCTTCCTTGTCTCTGAAATGTACTCTTGACAAATATCATGTCTTTCAGGAAACAGCAGAAACTGCATCCTGGTTAGAGATATTTTTAGATTTCAAGATATGATTTTTATCAAATTTTTACTCTCTTCATTAAGAACAAACTGTAATCAGCATAAATGAAAAAAGAAACAGTAAGAAACAGCTTAGCTTTGCAAAGAAGAAATTCTCTCTGTCCGAAGCAGGTGAGCAAAGTAGGCTGTGAAAAAGTTTTGAAGTAGGACCAGCGCACCTGGATTCTAGTTCTGGTTTGGTGTTTCTGTTACCTTCTCAAATATTATGTAAGGGCAGGGCACTTGGATCCTTAGATATTATCATATGCACTGATATGTTGTGACTTCTGTAGTTTCCCCTATTAAAAGCTGATAAAATGGATGTTTTGACTATACTCTCCAGTGGAGGTTGTAGTATGAAGAGTTTGTGAAAGTGAGCTACCAGGGAAACTCACTGCCGTGTATCTACTGGAGCTGGTTCTAATCCAGCCTTCTCCTTTATCCTCCTCTAGCAAGCCAGATAACTCTCAGGCTATTGGAGTATCACTTCATAAAATGTTTAATAGTGGGAAGGGATTTACTAACTGAACATTCGCAGGTCAGTTATGCTTTAACTTCACAAAATAAACTTATTACATATGTACATATCTTTTCTGGTATCTTCTTTTCTTTCTTTCTCTTTTTAAATTGCCAGAGAGCACATGTGCTCACCAGGGAGAGACAGAGAGTCAAAGGAAGAAGGAGAAAGCACCCTCCAATGGGGCATGATTGTGCCGCAATCACTTCTTCTCCATCCATCAGGATTATAAGGGCATATGTACCCCGTGTATTTTTTGAGCTGCCAGGACTGGAATTTGAACTATGGTTATCCATGTGGGGTCTAGCTCCCTTAATCAGCAAGCCTTAAGGCAAGCCTAGCTGGTATCTTCCTTTCAATAGTGGAAAAAAAAACAACATGTTTTCTAAAATCTGAATTTTTATATGTTCTTATGAAAAAAACACACAAAAAATTTGTACATTAAGATATATTATGGGCCAGGGGCTTCCGCCCCTGCGCAGCCGTGCACCGGGAACGGCCGGCCCTCCCTCTGGGGGCCCGGCCTCCCTGGCCTCTCGGGCACTGGATGGCCTGGAGGCCGAAAACAAGGTTGAAGAACTTGCAACTTGAGAAGATGATAGTTACCAGCCCTGCATTACCTCAGGGGAAAACAAGAACTACTCTGCCATTCTTAAGGAAGCCAGATACCCAAGGACAACTCACACTG